GCGCCCGCGCCCGCCGCGCCTGCGCCGCCCGCGCCGCCCGCCCCCCGCGCCCCGTCCGCCGCGCGGAGCCGCGCCAACCGTGCGCGCCGCAGGTTGAGCGCCCGCCGCTCCCGGCGTGTGCGCGGCTGCTGGCCGGGCCAGCGCACTAATGACAAGTCGGGCCGCACGGCCGTGTCCCGCCAGGGGCCCCGCGGCCGCTTCCCGATGTAGTCTTCCTCGTCATCGTCATCCCGCCGCCCGCCGCGGCCGCCGCGGCCGGCGCGGCGGCGGGCGATGGAGCGGCTGCGGCTGCGGAGGGCGCTGTCTCCCGCGCCCTTGGGGATGAGTTCGCCCTCGACCAGCAGGCGCGAGAGCAGCGCGGCCTCGTCATCAGAAGGCTCCATGCCCTTTGTGGGGTGAACAGAAAAAAGTGCGCGTGCGTGGTTGTGTGCGCGTTTGTTATCATGTGTGTGTGTGTGTCAGGGTGTGTGTGTACGTGTGTGAGACAGAGCGCGTGCGTACAATAGCGCGTGTACCGTGCATTCACACCAGGCAAGCTACAGGGTCAGTGCATTGGTGAGAGATGATGGCCGCACACCAGGGACAGGGGGGGGTGCTCAACAAGCCACCTGGCCCCCTCGGCGGCGCCCGCCACCCTTTCCCCTCACTCGCAGGCACCCGTGCCGCTGCGACCCTCCGCTGGCAAGGTTGCCACAATACCCAGCCCGCCCCGCACCTGCGACAGCCGACTGAGGCCCGTCATGAGCACCATCGTCTCCTCGAGGCTCATCTCCCCCATCCTCAGGCTCTGCGCGCGCCCCAGGTCCGCCAGGCGCTGCTCCAGCAGCAGCTGCTGCGCGATGCGCGCAATCTGCGCCTCCTCCTCCGCCGGGATGCCCTCGTCGTCATCGTCATCATCACTGTCGCCCAGGCTGACGGCCTCCACCTCCTCCACTTCCGCATCGCCATCGTCATCGCTGTGATCGTCGTCGTCGTCGTCGTCGTCGTCATCGCTGTCCTGGATGACGAGCTCGCCCACCGCCACGCCGCCGATCATCACGATGCCGTCCTCAGTGACCACAACCTCGGCCCCCTCCTCACCCTCCTCCGCCTCCTCCTCTTCGCCCTCGCCCTCGGCCTCCGTCTCGTCTGCAACACCCGCCCGCGGCCTCACCACTGCCTTGTCATCATCCTCGCCTCCGCCCGCGCCGCCTGCAGCTGCCGCCGCCGCAGCAGCAGCAGCAGCAGACGCAGCAGCCGCCGCTGCCGCCGCCGCAGCTGCAGCGTCCACAGGCTCACCTCCGCTCCCACCAGCCCCGGCAGAACTTGCCGCGTCCGATCCGCCGCCGCCGCCGTCGCTGCGCCCTTTGCCGCTGCCCTCTGCGGGCGCCTGGCTGAACGCACGGGCGAGCGCCAGCCGCTGCTTCAGCAAGTCTGACCGCTGTTTGACCAACTCCTCGACTTCCCGCGCCATCTCGCGCTCGGGCGACTCCTGCCTGCCGCTGCCGCTGCCGCTGCCGCTGCCGCTGCCACCGGCGCCCTCGCCGGCGCTGCCGCTGCCGCTGGGCTCTGGACTTCTGCCGGCGTCCGTCCCACGCGCCTCATCAGCAGCCCTGGCGTTGCTGTCGCTGCTGCTGGCGGCGTCGTCGCCGCGGTCGGCAGCCCTGCCGGTGCTGCTGCTGCTGCCGCTGCTATCGCCGGCGCCGCTGCCGTCGCCGACAGCCCTGCCGGTGCTGCTGCTGCTATTGCTACGGCTGCTGCTGCCGCTGCTGCCCTCGCCGCCAACGGGGGCAGCGGCGCCGCCCTTCGCCTTTGGCAGGGGCGGCAGCGCTCCCGGGAACGCGGGCCGCGGCAGCAGCGGCGGCGGAGCGTCCTCCGCTGGCCCCGGAGCCGGGCGGCCGCTGCCCAAATCGCGCCGCGGAGCGGCACCGCGGGGAGGCGCGCGCTCGCCCCGGCTCTCACCTGCTCGCACGGCGGGGTGCGGGTGGTGGTGTGATGCGGTGGGGGAATTCCGCGCCTAGTGCGAGCAAGGCGGGTGTGAGATGCCCGCCAACGCCACAAGCCGACTGCCTGGGCCACTGCAGGGCGCCGACCCATGCACACAAGACAACATTCTTTATCAAGACGTTTCAAGAGGCCGCTGCGCTTCAGGTTTGATCCCGCCGCTGCCGCTCTCTCCAGCCTTCACCACACCTGGGGAGGCGCCTTCCTCTGCCGCGCCGCCCGCCTCCTGCGCGGACGCCGTCGGGTCCTCCTCGCCGCTGCCACCCTCGCCGCTGCCCCCCTCCTTGCCGCCGCTGGCCCCGGCCC